AGCGCCTGCAAATTAATCCAGTGAGGAACCCAAGAACTCGCAAGATTGGAATAGCACTAGATGCCAGAATCATCACTTTTATAGGGCGCTTGAAACGGGAACTTTCATACGGAGGTCGTCGTTTCCAATACAATTTGCCCGCGTGAATTTGTGAAAAAAAACCCAAAACGTGGAAAAAAAGTGAAGGTATTTGTAAGTCAAGCAGATAACTGATTCAAATACTGACGATGTGGCGACAGCCAAATAAACAGTGGTGAGATCAGGATTAGAAAGCATCTGGTCGTTGAGGCTTCGTAGACGAACGCTATTCTCGCAAACCATTTCATCCAACACTGCCATAAGTTTCTGAAATGTTTGTTGTGTTTTATCCATGGAATTGGCTGATGAGTGCTCTCCATATCTCGATGATGAAGAGGGCGTGGCTGCGTACTTTGTTTGAACATAGCGTAGGATACGTTTTTCGTGGGATTTTTCCATTCGAGTCACTAGCTATCCCCTATGTCTTGTGCAGGGAAAGACATTACCACAACTCTTCTGGAAGCAATATCCCAAGAAAAGCTCTACCGACGCCATTTCCAAGTGCAGCAACGCCCTCCTCATTTCCAGGATATGGAGTGGATTCCCGGTGAGCGCAATATTTAGCACGGCTACTGTAACTCGCATGGTGGTGTGCTTGTCCACATTCTAGAATCTTCCACTAATCAGGCTCTGTTTGAAGATATAATAATTTTTAATTAATTACCATGACGCAGTTCCGATGAGGAGAGTTGCTGTAAAGTCGTCATCCGTTGATTATCCGGCCCAAGGGACGCGACGCGGCTGCAGCGCGTCACGATCGCTGCGATCAGCTGTTTCCAGCCTAATTTAGCAATTTTCTCCTAGTTTTCACTGTTTTTGGCTGTTTTTTTTTCAAGGTCAGATGCTTTATTGTCTGGCGTACTCGAGACGTGGATCGCAGACGTGGATTCTTCTTTTTGTTCTTGTAATGAAGTGTTTTTCGCTATTTGCTTAGGTGTTTGTTTAATTGTTTGTTTAATCGCCTAATTGTTCGCAAGAGTTAGAAAAAATTCAATCATAATTTATCTTGTTCTTATAAATATATGGGAGTGAGAAGCTCTTCTTAACTCCCATATATAAGAACAAGTCTTAATACAATGATGAAGCTCAGGGAACCATCTATATTATCTGACCATAATTTATCTTATGAAGCCAAGTAACAATTAACCTTGAAAAAAAAACAGCCAAAAACAGTGAAAAGTAGAAAAAAAAGAAAAGGACCAAACCAGGCCGCGAAACGGCTGTCGCCACACACCAGTTCCTTACGTAACGCAGTTGCTTACTGCCAGCCGGGCTTATATGCCTGTTTTGGACTCCAGCAAATTTCGGCACCACCGAGCTCATTTTTAAATTGCCTAAGTTACCAAATCCGCTAAAAACTTGTATATAGGGGTAGTTTAACATTCCTGATTACGAATATGACATTCACTCTTGCCGCTGGCGCTAATGGATGACACTACGATTATCTGCGCTCTGCTAAGGCTAAGCCCAGGAGGTAATCGTAGCGTCATCTCTTGGCGCCAGCGCCAAGAATGAGTGTCATAATTGTAATCACGATGGTAAATAACCCTTGTGTACATGTTTTCAGCGGGTTTGGTGACTTAGGCAATTTGAAAATGAGCTCGGTGCCGAAATTGCTGGAGTCCAAAAGGCATTAGCCCTGCAGCCGCGTCTGCGGTCCCTACAGCGGTCTACGGACAACTTGAACTTAATCCCTTTGAACGCGTCGATCTTCTCTTTTTCTCTGCACTCTCTCGTCCGCATGGCACTCTATGGCCGTTGTGACTTCGCTCACTCCAGCTTTTCACCGACTATAAGTAGCTCACCCACCCCGGAGTCCCCTAACCCTTGAAAAATCCCGTTTCCTGACTTGCCATACGTTTTTTTTGCAAGTTTTCGAACTTTGGCTGCCGCCTGCCCACTATCCGTCTGTTCACAGCGCTTTCGTTACAGCGCACCATTCGCAAAGTCAAGATGTCACGTATCCTCGACGACTGCCCTAATCAACTGCCCGGATGACGAGTGTACGACCATCGAAGAAGAAACATGCATGGTCTTGGTCATGCCGAACACGTCTCAAACCGCACTCCAAAATAATTTCCTGCTTGTCACTATTCTTATCCATTGCCCTACCGATACGTCACGAACCTTTCGCCAACAATAAAAAACAAGTAGGTTTAACACACACTGTACCTCTTTGTTGCCTTTAATCAGATTTGTCAACTCCATCACTTTCCGGATCACCTTCTCGTCCTCTCGAACGACATCGATCGTTTGCTCTGTTTCTTGTAGAATTGCTAATGTGTCTGAAAATCGATTTTTCTTGAGGGGAATTCTGTGTTTAGGCTGAGTATGTACGAATGGAAGTTGTATGAAGGTGAACATCGCCTAAGAGCCACAGAAAAGGTTAACGATTCGGCAATGTGCTTGAAAATGACTTCCTTACAAATGGCCATGGATGTGTCCTTGCCTAACAAATTCTTCACTGACAGTGACAATCAGAATCTGCTTTTTTAGGCGGCCCTGTAAGCATTTTGTCCCCACATCCGTCGCGCAAATCAAACGCTTAAGTTACTTTCAATGGGCGAGATCGTTCAGCCATTGGTGCGCTTTTCCAAAACGGATTCTATGCCCATAATTTAGGGGGCCTCACGCCAAGACCCGAAAGTGCTGCTTCACTTTTTGCTGCCGCCGAATCCGTAGATGTCCTCTCTTGCGCCAGGCGCACGAGTGAGGATTTATATTCTATACTCGTAATCAGGATGTTGAAACTACCCCTATATACAGAGTTTTTAGCGGATTTGGTGACTTAGGCAATTTGAAAATGAGCTCGGTGCCGAAATTTCTAGAGTCCAAACGGCATTAGCCCTTTCCACTCTATTGGCCGTGCGGTCTCGACAGAAAAAAGTGTAGACTACTTGGCAACGGTTAGCGCGACCGGGACACTCGTCGATCATCGCAAAGTCTGAACGCAACCTTGACGAACAACCGCCGCGCGGCTTTTCACGCAAAGCGAAAGGCTTCCTGAAGCAGTGCACTGTGGGAACGGATCCTACATCATCACTACTCCTTCCTGGAGTTTTTTCAAAGGTAGTTCACTTGAATTGTCTAAACTAGAGAACGAGATTGATCAATTCTAGAATCCCATTGGAGTCACAAGAATATTTAGCCTAATAATTGTTAACCCAGAAACTCAATGAGAATTCCAGAAAATTCAGCTTTGAAGTGATCATTTACCACTACGAGCAACAATAAGACCCCACCTTTGGCGATTTCCACATCATCAAGAGCGATTTTTATGATCAGTTTGAAGCGATTATTATCGAGAAAATCAGCTGACTGCGTGCTGAAAATGATCTGATAAAATCGTCCAGAAAGTCATATGAAAAGGAAGTATTCACATGAGTTTTGCATTTCGTGCTGGATTCTTCCGTCGGACACTGGTGAGCACGAGCTGATCGCTCAGTGTGAACACACATCGCTGACGCTTCTCATCACCACGGCATCGCATCTGCACTACATCATAACGAACCAAATTTCGACCCGTTGAAACCAGCTGAAATTCTGAGACCATGCAGTCACTTCATCACACGAACATTATTGCGTTTATCGTTTCTATTTCCTCAGGCTGCATTCATATTTGCGGCAGCGTCCACCAGCGACCAGTTGCGTCCACCAGCGTTCCAAGCGTCCGGCAGCGACTGCGACTAGGAAAATACACATATCGATCTAGCGTCTGCGAGTAGTTGAGCGTCCACTAGCGTCTGCCAGCGTCCACCAGCTTCTCGGGGGCTAGGGAGTAATAGCTATCGATTGAGCGTCCACTAGCGTCTGCCAGCGTCTACCAGCGTCCACCAGCGACAGCAGCAGACTGCTGGTAGAGAGTGTGGACGATAGGAGGGTACAGTTGTCTGCTACTTATCGTTTAATAAATAAATTAATGAACGAATAAAGAACTACACTCCCGTAGTCGTTGACGCGGTGGACGCTCGGGAAGCTGGTGGACGCTATTGGTCGCTGGTAGGCGCTGCCGCAAAGTATGAACGCAGCCTCATCCAGAAAGAATGGAATTTCTTGTCTTTGTGCAGAGCATCGACCATCCGACAGCAAACTTACATCGTCAAGGCCATCGACGATCGCTTCGATTTCTCGAAGACGTTGTTCCATCTGTTCGTTGGCCTCTTTATGTTGATTGATTGCGACCTGGAATGCTATGGTCAAAGTTCGAAAAAAACCCTTGGTTGCCTAGATGTACTATCAAAAACGTCTTGGCCTTGTGACATTTCGATGGACTGGGGAACCAGGGTAGACACTGTCGCTGGGGAAATTATTGCAAAACACGATCTCTTTCCCCATCTTACCTACCATCTTCCTACTTTTCCCACCTTCTTACTAATTTTTTCCGAAATTCTCCACTAATTTTCGTGTTTCCCCCATGGGGTGAGTATGGAGTGAGATCTCCACCAAACGACCTCTAAATTCAACAATAGTATACAGCACTACTCAGGACTTCGACTGCGCCGCCAATGGGGAGGGGTTCTTAAAGACAGCTCCCGCGCTCAAGTAGTGCATGGTCGTCCTTCCTTGTGCAAGTAGTACAGCCCCCAAGCTAGAGACTATCCCATTCTCGCAACTCCACAGCGAGCGATTAGCGATACAGTCTAGTTCTAACGCCCGCTCAGTTGGACCGCCCACTTGCTAGATGCCCTCCGACGGAGGGCCGCTCAGTTGTTCTTTGTTGGGGCGGCGGGCATTAATCGGAATCGCATGCCCTTTTTGCTGACCGCGCTCGTGCCCATGAATGATTCTGCTCTCCTTTATTACATTTTATTCATTAGGAGCACATACAGTCAACTCCAACCCATCTTGCAAGGTAAAACGCGTAAAAATCACGAGCGACCCAATTTTCGTGGTGCAAAAGCTCGACGCACTTCACTACACTAAAAGATGCACCGTAACCCTGAATTCGGACGCCGAGTTTTTAAAAGTTTCTTTTTCTTTTCAAGAGTTTTTCCTCTCTGTTTTTGTTGTTTTTTTGTATTCTTTTCTTCGCATTGGATGATATCCACTACTGCGAGATGTGATAGAGAGATTTGTGAGCCAGGGGTTGCACAGAGACCGCAGGGAGGTGTGACTGTCAGGGAGCGATTTTGTTTATGGTGTTCTTGAGGACTCTTCTTGCTTTTTTCTTCTTTGGGGAATTACTTATCAGCTACTGTTTCATAATTGAAAAGCAACTATCCATGACACTTTTATCGCGGGAGCTGTCTTTAAGGCCAGGTACGCTCTCGCTCGCTCCCCACTCAGTGGTGCGCAAATCCGTTCCTACCGAAATGGGAGTCTCCCAACGATTCGGATAGAAAAGAAAATTTCGTATGAAAAGATATATATCTACAGTCAGAAAAAAATTCTCAGGTCGAATACTACCCTCTCTCTCCAGTGACCTAGTACGACTTCCTTACTGAAGAGTCCTCAGTGTACGACGCGCCGTGTGGGGAACATAGCGCAGTGCCTGTGACTGCTCTAGACTTCCGTAAGATTGCATCCTGGTTAGAATCAAGCATCCCTGACGAATCCTGTTAGTGGAACACCCTTTTTCTCACAAGACAGCTGTTCTGGCTGATTCACAGAGGGAGTAAGCAAAACAGGATTCACAAGTGGTGCTCCATTTTCCTTCAGGATGTTGGCTCCCAAAGAGGCAGTCCACGATTGCTCGAAAGCCACCATAAAGGCACACCTCCATCTCGCGCGCCCTATTTACTGCACTGCTGGACAAATTCATGGGAAGGGATCTTATACGAGACAAGAAAATTTTTTTCTGGTTACTCCCACTCACCCAGTGGTGCCGTAAAACGACTTTGGCAACTACGACCACCCCATTCCTAAGGTAAAGTTTTAGAAAGCTGCGAATGTTTGGAAGATGGTAGGTAGGATGGGGAAGGGGAGGGCCGTTCCAGAGGAGGAAT